CCATCCGTTCCGAGACAAATCTGTGCACGATTCAAGGATCCGAGAATCCATAGGTCTAGTATCCGAAAAGTTGAATAAGAATTTAGAGGAATTAAAAAATCCGTGGATCTCTGTCCCCCCTCTCCTCTCCTCTCTCTCTCTCTCTCTCTCCCCCCCCCTCCCTCCCTCCCTCCCTCTATCCGGTCAAGGAGTCGACAATATTAGAATCGAAATCTATTATTCTGAAATCCGAGACTGTAAGGATGTAAAAGTCCACGAATCCACATCGATATTAAGCGTGCAATGATCCAACACTGTTTTGTGATACTTAAAAAAAAATTCACGTTAGCGTAGTAATCTATGATCTAGAAATTAAGGATCGTGGATAGGACGATTGAGAAGAATTTTATTTAAGATATTAGAGAAGGATTGAAAGCTATTAAAAATTCAGTAATCGGAAATAAATCAGCTCTGAGAAATCAAAAACGTTTTTGGAGGATTTAAGAATAGAGGACTGAAATATATATCAAGCAGTTTATGAATTGGTCGGGTTAGAATTCCAAAGAATTAAAGATCCAAGGATTTGAAGCTATGTAGAATCTAGGAATTCAAGGATGCACAGATACATAGATCAAAATTGTTCACAAACGCAAAGAAGAATCTAAGGATTCAAGGATCTTAAAGCATTTTAGCTACAGCACAGCATTATTACGTTATTGCGTATGAAAAGTCCATTTTTATTTTTTTATCAATACAATCTCTAAGAATAAGTTTAGTAAGAAATTAAGAATATATAGATTATATTATATTAATAAGATAAGGAGTCCTGTAATCGGAAACCAAATTACGCGAGTGTACAGTTTATACAAGATCATGTAATTTACATAAGAGTGGTGTCCATTTTATTTATTTATTCGCTAGAGATATTATATATGTATACATATACATACGCTGGAGGTCTTTCTATATATTTGCGGACTTGAAAATTCGACTTTTCATATGCAAACACGTAATATCTTGATACACTTGAAGCAAGAAGAAACACGAGTGAGATAGCGTTGCTAATAATGTTCTCCCTCTTGAAATCGCAATCATGATTTCGGACCGCCTTGCTGCGCGATAATGAAGTCAAATGTATAGTGCGTGTGTGCGTGTGTGTTTGGTTTAAATGTATACACCGATAATTTTATAAAATAAGTTATAAAAAATTTTTTAATTAAAGTTATTTTGTTTAAGATCTACATAAAACTAAAATGTTTAAATTACTCTATATTTTATGTTTTTATTCCTCATAATTAAAAGCAAAAGCAATGACAATATTTCATGAACGATTATCGAATATATTAAATACCTTACAAAATTGTAATAAAAATACATATCTACACATTACATATCTATACATGTATCAGTGAACAAATAAAATTTACTAAAAACAAATTTAACAAATTTAAAACTTTCGGTGTTAAGTCTAAATATTTATTTAAATATTTTTAAACAAAATAAAACTTTCACAATTATTATTTACAAAACCAAACACACATATGTGCGTGCGTGTTTACGCACATATTGTATAGTATACTAAGTGTTTTATAATTGCATGTCAATATTTAGGGTGAATCTACACATGAAATAAATAAAAACAAGAACATATGTCCTGTATATTTTAACTTTTGAGTTAGGAATGATTAAAGAAAATGTTCTAAATGTCCTTCTCGTGCCTCAACAGATGCTATTGCACATCTTAGCACGTGACCTGATCTAATGTTTACAAATAATATCTTTCAGTATTGCAATGCAGTAGTGTGTACTAAAACACGAAGCACGGATACCCAGAACATTTCCTTTGATCATCTATAACTCGAAAATTAAGGTATGTGGCACATGTTCATACGTTTTTTACTTATTTCAGTGTATAGACTCACTCCCTAAAATATTGACATGTATTTATAAAACACTGCGTGCGTGCGTGCATCTGCGTGTGTGTACGTGTGTGTGATGCGTGTACGTTTATATGTATCGTACGAGTGTGTAAAAAGAAAAGAAAAAATAGCGTTCGAGGCTTTCGCCGAGTGACGGCCGTTGCGCCGTTTCAAGTTGAGCCGAGAATTTTATACAAAGTTCCATGAAAATTTCGTTAAAAAAACGTGAAATAAAAAAATAAGTAGATAAGAGGACGCGCGGCTTTTGCGCGTCGCATCGTATAAAATTAGAAACAATTGTATTATTATTATTATTATCATTATCATTATCATTATACTGTGCGAATTGTATAAATTTTTTTCCCCGTAATTTCTTGTTAACCCGTTGAAGGCCCGCGTCGCCGCTTGCATCGCAATAAAGTAGCATGATCCTATGTTCACATCGACGGCGCTTTGGCACAAAATGCGGCTATCTGCGATTATATCCCAGAATAGAATCCTAAGATTATATACATGCGTATGTAAATGTATATATCCCCTACGCTATCCTTACCCAAATGAAATCAGAATTGGATAGTCGCGTTGAGATCGGTGACGCTAAACAAGAATGTGAATATAGATTTTTCGAAACCACTGGCGCGTATTCGCGTTGCGCAATTAGCAGTAAATGTGGTTGGTCACGCCTTCAGCCTTCGTTATCCTCGTTGAACCGCGACCTTTATGTCCGGTAATTAAATACCGTATAGAGTATTAATAAGCGGTCATGTTCAGCGATTATTCGTAATCGCGGATACGAACCACGTACGACGGTGGTCCTCGATCGCGTTGATTGTGTACCGATAATTATAACGGATCTTTGTATCGCTAGCTTAGGCAACACAACAGCCGTTTTCACCAATATTTTACAAAGAGATCTATCAAGACAATCGTACAAAAGCATGTACAATCATGAAAGAAAACTTAAAATAGCGTTAAAATCTTGAAAAAAAGCCCATATTATCTTCATTTTCTACCTTTTATCGTGAAAATATAGAGAAACAAATTTAAAGAAATTTGTTTATAATGATTGATGTGTGGTTGTTAATTAATTTGATAAGTAGTAAATACATACAGTGTAATTGATTTGCTATAATTTTAATAGCAAACAGTTTTTTTACGATATAATTAAACAAATTAATTTGTTTGACTCATTAACATATAAATATAGTCACAAATCAGCTGAGACGCGTGTATGCGAATAATTAAATTTATGATACAAATGATTATACTGGATAATGATTTTTCAATTGATTTGGAAGTCGCTATCAAGTGCAAGTATTTATACAAATTAACTTGCTATCAAGTATAGTTATCAAGTATTGCTAAGGTAGAGATTTATACAAATGTACTTATATAAATAATTATACTTGATGGCGCAATTTTCAAATTAATATATAAATAGGTATATTTAAGTATAATTATTTCTATATCAAGTACAATTATTTGTATTATAAAGTTTGATTAATTGCATACATTGCCTCACAATCGTGCTTCAGATTCTATCATCCTAGTCATCGATTTGTAATTAAATTTTAGAATGTTGTTTGAACAAGCAAAAAAAAATTGACATCGTCGCGTCAATGAATCTCTTCAAGCTGAATCCTACCGAGAAACATCGGCTTCGAAATCTTGTAAAAATATTCTAAATATAATAAGATAGTAGGCGTTATATATTATTCAATCTGGAAATCTCTCTCTTTCATCTGGTCTTATAGGTTTTGTTAATTTTACCTAAGAAATTTTGCTCTTCAAATTGTCATGATTTTATGTGCTTTTATAAGAGCATAGGTCACCACAGAGGAATTTCTCGAGATTCCCTCGCCTCTTTGACGTCATCGAACTATATATATATATGGCTGAATCGATTATTTTACCGCTTTAAAGTTCAAGATCAATTGACCACATTTAGCGCTAAATGCAGCGTTAATCTTAGAATACTAATCATACTTTTAAGAGTAATCATACGTTAAATTTACGTATGTTGAGATTTTTTCCTAAAAAAATACCAAAATAAACATTCATTAGGAATAAACTAATGGGTAAGAAAAATAAAACAGAAGGAAAAGAAAAACTCCTAAACTTACATGCTATTTTTTTATTATATATTATTAGTATTCTAGGATTAAATGAAAGTGACTGCAAGGCTTTCTCCTTGACAGACACTATTTGTGGAAAGTACTTGACATAAATGAGAAAATTAAAAATAACTCGACGAGAAAAGTAAAACTTGTGGAAAATAATTACTTTTTTATGACCTTGAACGGGTTAAAAATTTTAACATGAGTGAGAATATAGAAAGGATTACGCGTGTGAATGTCAAATTAATGCCTTGATTTGTAAATAAAACTTCATTAGATACTTCCATTAAATGCCGTTTTTATTGTGCATTTTTTGTTGTTAGGCACGTCTTATTGTTCATCCTGCATTTCGTTATGAATATTTTTACTTAAAGCTCAAGTTTTAATTATAAATATACATATTTTAAAATTAACGTACATAAGTAAAGTTTCATAATATGCAATTACTTGTATGTGTATATAGGGTGTCCATAACTCTTAATTAATGGCGTTTTCGGCCTGACCGGGTTGGCACTGATTTGCACCAACCTGGGTTGAATTAATGATGATTCGTGCTTTCCTATTGGTAGAGCATGTAACGTCAACCGATAGCAAAGCATTTTCCAACCCAACTCAGGTTGATGCAAATCCGGTCAGGTTGAAAACGCTATAATATTTCTTGGAATGAAAGATGATGAAATTTTGAACTAAAAGTTCTTCTTTCCCAATTTTGATCTTGATTATTATTTACCGAGTTATTAATGATTAAAGTTGATTGCACTCAGTCGCAGGAGCGTAACTCCTATCATAGGGCTGCTCGCGCTTACTATACATTTTCTTGATTAAAATTTTATTCGAATTTTTTATATTAATTAATAAATATATGAATAAAAATGAATAGATAAATAAATAAGTAAATAAGAATAAATTACAGTTGGAAACTTATCCAATTTCCAATTGTTTTTTTATTCTTATTTATTATTTATTTATATGTACGTACGCACACGCGCGCGCGCACACACACACACTACATTTCAGACCTAACGCACCACCTGTTAATGGCAGATTCCTGAAGCATTTTGAGACGAAAATTTAATAATGTCCAGACTAAATATTTTTTTAACGTAACAAATATCTCGCGCCATGACGCTTCGCGCTTGCTTAGCGCTGAGACACTATCGTGTCTCCCGATCAAGAATTAGAAATATCAGTGATTTCATTTTCGCTTATGTAATTATTTATATCGATATTAACGAAAGGCAACTATTAGCTTTTACTTTTAGCACTTTGCGTTGTAACATACTTGAACGCGTAAATTTTAGACAGTATAATTTGCTAGCTTTAAATGATTATAATTCAAAAACTATTATAGAATTTTAGTCTCGAAATAACTTGAGGAATCTGCCATTAGCAGGTAATGTGTTACATCTGACACACTGCGCGCGCGCGCGCGCGTGTGTCAGTAACAGTGGACTTACAGCATATGTTCACATGAATTTTTTTTATGTGGGAGCTTGGCTCCGAAGTTTGTTACCTTATTTTAGTTACATCCTGTGTATATAGATGTGTGCGTGTGTGTTGTATGTAAACTAATGTTACGCTTCACATACACAAAATGTATACATATAGAAGAGCTATTGCACACTCTCCTATTCGTAAATGCCAAATTAGAAAAGATATTTTAAATCGAAGATGCACTCACACCTTTGATCAAAAAATAATTATAGTAATTATGTCACATACACACACACACACAAAGTGTTTCAACTGATAAATAAGTAGTTTTGGTAGGCTCTACGTAAGCTTACAATATAACAAATAGTTAAATGTAGTTTCTTATATTAATATTAAGATAAATAAGGCACTACAAGCAAATCAAATGAATATTGATTAAATCTTGAGAGAGTCACGTAGAAGAGCCCAAGCCGAGATCTGTGTTTATGCTGGTGGAATCCTTTTAGGATTCAGATCGTACATACGTCGCATCCGCTTTTTCAACTCTTGCGGAAACTTATCATAGCACTTCTTGCACGCGGGCTTTAGGTCAAACTCGAAGAACTTGGTCTTCTGATTCATCTTCTGGTCGCAGAATGCACATGCAAAGTGATGAACGCACCATGCCTTATTCAACGCTGTAAAAACTAGAAAAAAAAAAGTATTATAATAAAAAAAGATAAACCTTTCTCTTTACAATCGGCCCCAAATGACTTCCGAATAACTTTGATTCTGAAGAAGGAAAATGTCATTGACTTTTTTCGTCGCTCGTTATTTATTAAAAAGTTATTAACAAAACAATTTTTATGAATTGTACACAATTTATAAATTAACTTGTTATATTTATATCAGATACATACCATCTCCAGAGATAACCTGATTACAGACAAAGCAAAGATTCCCAAACAATTGATGATAATGAGTCTCGCAATAAGCAAGACCTTTTTTCTCGTAATGGCGATGTCCCAGGAAGGGTTTTTCGCATTTAGCACATACAAAATGCTCCACATGCCAATGTTTGCCAAGTGCCGTTACCACGCGTTCTTCGATGGGACGTCGACAGGCACCACAAATTGGGATTCCCATTTTATCGTGACACCGCAAACAATAGAGCTCGTTCTACGCAACATACAGCTCATTATTAAGACCGAATCAAATTGTAAAAGCGTCTTTGTTTATACAAATATATATGTATATAATAAATTTGTAGCTATACAGGGTGTTTGGAAATTAGTTATAAGTCTTTCACATAGGGACAGAATGGACTAAACTGAGAAGAAAAGTCCTCTACCATTTTGCAATTTTCGCAATAGTTAACAAGATATTAATTACTAAAAATTACCGAAAATTGGTCTTTAATAATTTTTTTACTCAAATACTATCAACTTTACAGAAAAACTACAAAAGGCGAAAATTGTTTATTTTCTTCTCATAGAACTCTATGAATTTTTTCAGAATTTTTAATCAACTTTTTAGCATTGCATTTTTTCATTTTTACCAACATGAGAAAATACGGTATTAAAAAAATTCCGAAAAAATTCTTAGAGTTCCATGAGAAGAAAACAAACAATTTTCGTCTCTTGCAGTTTTTCTGTAAAATTGATAGTATTTGAGTAAAAAATTATTTAATGCCAATTTTCGCGCGCGCGCGCGCGTGTGTGTACACATATATATAGCTACAAATTTAAACGAGGGAAACAAATATGCTATTTTGTGTGTGTAGATTTAAAATATTTTTTTTACCGTTAAAAAAATTACGTTTAAAACATTAAATTCTGTTCATATATGATAAACGTATTTATTCTTTTTTAGATATACTAGCTAATTTCTTATAAAATCTGAGGCTTAAACAATTATCTATATCCTGTAAAATATTAATATAATCTTTACCATTTCATTGGCAGCATAGCCAGGTCGAGAACGGACTTCTCTGGCTTCGGAATTGAGTTCTATACCACAAGTTGTACAATTGAAATGATAAGGATGATAAAGTTCACCACGAAATCGTAAAGGTTTGTCATCGATTACTCCGCTAAAAATTACAAAAGAAAATCATAACGACTACAATTTTCAAACAAGTATTCCATTGCGTAAATTATAGGTTTTTTTATAAATAGACTGCTGGCTTCGCCTCCATATTTGAAGACATCGCTGAGCAGCGCCATATTTATGTTCACTCACTCTCACATATATATGTATAAATCACACGGATAATTACTGCTCAAGTAAATATTGAAAAGTATATACCTATTATCTTATATAATAAATAAATAATGTAATACTTATGAGAAAAAATGAACATTACTTCCTACTTTATATCGACTTTTGCAATTTGTTACTGTAAACTATCGTTTTTTATATTATTTTTCAGAATACAATAAAATTAAAAAGCTTCCATGAAATGACATTTGACATTTATGATAATTTCTGTTATGACTGAACGCAGTGTTTTCACATAAATTCACGCGATACAAGGACACCTCGGAATTAGGGTGATGAACCTCTTTCTATCACATTCAATCGTAAAAGTCTGGTTTTTCCATTCCCTAGACTAGATATTTTAGATTAAAAAAATTTTTTTTAAATCTATCTCAAGAAGCTGTAAGTGCGTTTAAAAAGAGATTATAATTTCTTTTCAGAATAAAAGTAAAAATAGATCGCTTAAGCATCATTTTAAGCATTTTGATAACTAAACATTTGTTTAGTTGCAAAAACTGCCTATCATTTATGATACAAAAGCTACATCTTTTATACAATAATGAGAACATACTGGCATTGATGACATATATGTTTTCCAAGTACACCAGCTTTCACATTAGCGTTACACGTATGGCATAAGGCTCTGCCTTGACACTTGATGAAGCCCGCATCCGCCAATTCACCGTTACATTCTTCGCAGCGGAAACATTGTGGATGCCAATTTGAATTCATCGCTTTAATCACGCGGCCAATAACAAACTCGCCTATCGTAAAGATGAGAAAACTTGATTAAATACATTTTAAAATGTTATCTCATATTTCACTATACTCTCAGGAGTAATAATAATATCGAAGCAATTAACAAAATTTAAATCTAACTTACCACACTTGCCACAACATGGTGCAAACAGAACATGAAAGTCATGCTCGCAATATTTGTATCCTTCAAATTCATAGAAGATCCCATCTGGAAATGGCCGGAAACATTGCGCGCACCTATCAAAATGATATTAACTCATGTGATAAAAATCCATAAGATAGTACATTTTTATAATTATTTTTGTTTTTACAGAAAGTAGCGAAGAAATTAACATTGGAGCATGCAACTTGTAAAAATTGTGGCTTCTCCACAAATGTTACATAATTTATGAAAATTGAATCGAATAGAAGAATAGTAGGTATGTACCAAGATCACAATTAAAAAATTGTGGAAATTCAATAATTATTATTTCGTGATACATGGACAAAATGGAATGAATTAAACGCTATTCCGTAAAAGAAATGTCATTTATATTAACACAGACCATAGGAACGATAATATAAATTTAACTTATAGAAAAAGTCGAATATTAGAAAAAGTAAAAAATGTAGCACGATTAATTGCATTCAATGATACATTTTCAAATCTCGTTACAAGCAATTATTTCCATAAAACAAATCATTTTAAATTCTTTGAAAATAAAGTTATAATTATTAGTGTTAAAAACTGTATTTAATACTTTCTAAAAATACCTCGACTGTTTAAATTCAAACAATCACCATTTTGAAAACGTATATATGAAATTAGACAAATTGCTGATTTTTCGTCACACCTACAGAAGTTTATGTATATTCTTTTCATACTATATGCTAATAAAAGTAATGAATTTTTTCTGCAGTATAGTATTTAATTCGTTTTCGTCTATTTATTCATAGATACAAAATAAACGTAATAGCTATTTATTTTCAGTTCCTTTCTGCCTGTACGCAAACTGCCTACAGTAACTGCCCGATAATAAATTTACAGCAAATTTACTTAGTATCTAGCTAGTATCAGAGCTAGTATCTAGTTATTGCAACAGATCCAGTATCATCTATCCATATATATAGTATAGTATATTTTTTGCTAGCTGTTTTCCATTTAGAAAACACAATTGACACAGACATCGTATTATCCTTCTTGATATTCAATAACAAAAAAAAAAAACATTTATATCAACTGTGACATCTCCTAAAAAGAAAGCAGCCAAGGTAAAATGCCGGTAGTAATTAAATAGAATCTGTCGTTCATTTTTAAATGGAATACAAATACATTATTTAAAATTTTTTAATAATTACGAAACAGCAGATTCTGTTCAGCTTCTGTAATCAATCTGCCATTATATTCTTTTATCAGATTCTGTTGGATTTTTATTGACATTCTACAAACATTTCTAATAGACACTTTCAAAATCTATGACAGATTTGGCTATCCAAGCCAATTGTTATCCCATTCATACTTACACAAAACACTGCGGATGCCACAATTCACCATTTGAATTAACAATTTTCTCATGTGCAACAAAACCTTCTCTACACCGGGAACAAAACATATGATCCAACGACATCTCTGTAACCCTGTAACACATAAATATTTTAATAAATATTTTAACATAATGGTTTAATAAATGTTTTAGTTTTGAATTTATAATTAATTAATCATTATATAATAGAAGCGTGGGTAAGAATTCTGTGTACTACTCAAGTCTGATTTCGATAAAATTTTACAGATGTGTAGGACTAACTAAATGTTTTTCCAACTTCCAAGTATCACTATATTAAAAGATCAATTACGCAAAACTTGAATTTAATCGACAACACGTTTAAATTGTTCGCATTCCTACAATAATGACTCTACCATATACTAAAAATGAACTCGTAAAGCAAAAACCTTATAAGGTGACAATTTTATGAAATTAAAAAGTATTTTTTCGACATATTAACCAAATAAAAGTATTAAAAATAATTTTAAATTTTATCTCCTTTTATGATTTAAATATTGATAATATAAAATATTTAAAAAATTGATAATATAAAATTTAAATAATAATATAAAATATATAAAAAAGAAAATGTTGCATTTTTTTTTTATATTTTGTCAACTATACCTGTCCCACTCTAACTTACTGTATCAGTGTACACCAGTTCAGAACTTGGTATGAAAAAAGAATAGGCCTAGTATTACATATTTGTAAAACTTGATTGAAATTGAACTTGGGTAGTGTACAGAAGTTGAACCAAAGCGTGTTGTAAATATAATCGTGTTAATTCCATAAATTTATTTGGATAGCATAGACAATTACCCAGGTAGCAACATGTCTGTCTTGTTGCTGGCATGTTGCTTGCTAAGTACACATTGCTACTGAAATTGCAGCAACTTATGTGAGTCCTTATTTGTTGACAACTTAATGCCTTGACAATATAACAACTTTTCACAGGTAGCAACTTGTCAGCAATTTGTTGGCAACTTAAAAATCGTCATCATTAAAATTTATACTATTGCCGTCATATTGCCAACATTGATTGAAGGTAACATTGATGCAGTTATCTTGCACCATTAGGGGCTCCGTACAATAAAAGGAACAGGGAACAGAGAACAGAGAATAAGAATTTCAACCTATCAGAAATCATGTATTGTGAAATACACAGTTTCTGATAGGTTGAAATTCTTATTCTCTGTTCCTTTTATTGTGCGGAGCCCCTTAAACTGCTGGCAATACATATACACATTGTTGCCTGCATGTTGCCACAATATCCGTATATTCGAAATATATAGATCGTTGAAGGCAATTAATATTATCTATATCTATTATGCAAGTTGCTAGCATCATAAGTAATCGCAGATTTGTGCGATGTTGCCGAGACACGATTTGCTATCTGAGTATTTACATACATTTCGCCTGTTATTAAGAAAACAGGAGATAGTTTATGTTACATACAGTTGCGTCCTATATACTTATGCAAAAAAATTAACATTTTTCAAAGAAAAGATGCTTACCCTGGCATATTTTAATGGAAGAAGGCGATTACGTTTTAACGTTGACAAACACTTCTAGCTATCTTGTTTTTCTACTCGCCTACAATCAATTTACTTTACACAATAATCTCTATTATTGGAACACTATTAATAAAAACGCGTTAAAACAAATAATATATGTAGGTTCATAGAAATACTGCAAATTTAATATACGCTGATCCAATAATGGGTTTGTTTTTTCGTTGGTGCATAAAACTGCAGTATACAACTTTACTTTTCACTTCCGTCAAATTTCAAACATGTACTTATTTTGGTAATTGTGAAGGAGATAGAGGCTTACTCACCGACTTTGATGAAATTAGGCTCATTCGACGCGTTTTTGCACAAAATAAACGAATCCGGTAGAAAAAGTGTCTCTTTGCTCCGCGAACCGAGATATTACGCAAAGTTCAGGTTCAGGTTGCGTTCAGGTTAGGAAAAACTGTCACATCGATGATATAGAGGATTACACAAATTCTCAGTTTTACAATCACAAATTCTCTACTTTAAAAACAAATTCTTTGCTTTAAAAACACAAATTCTGTTTTAAAAATACAAATTATTTTCTATATAATTTTCATTTTTGCAGTTGATGAAAACTTGTTTTTAAAGCAGAGAATTCGCATATTTTGATGCAGAACTTAATCTAGCTTTACTTACACATTCTCATGTCCTTCTATGGCCTATGCTATCGATGCGACAGATTTTCTAAAGTCAATAGTCGTCAACTTCAACGATTAATGCCTCGGTCCACAGGGCAGAGAGCAGCACTTTTTTTTGCCAGATTCGTCCATTTCGTGCAAAAATGCGACGAATGAGCCTAATTTCATCGAAATCGATGAGCGAGCCCGTCTCCTTCATGCACAATTACCTTTACACGACCATCAGGTTAAATTTGAGTTAACACACAAGTTAACAACAAACGACTGAAAAACAGGGCCTTAGCCATTCTCTCACTCTGCTATTTATCGATTTCTAATGTACGTTTGAAATATAATATTAATGACTACTCGCGACTATAATTTTTGTTCCATCAACCAACTATTAAATCAACCATGAGATACCTAATGACGCAAATATTTAATAAATTAATTACGAATAGTACAATGAAGCTAAAGCACTACCTATCACATAACAGACATATCCTGTCAATTACCTATATTCCGTATTAATCTTATCAGATTTTAAGTAAACAGCCAATCCGATGTCAGCGAACGTGATATGACCTTTTATGAAAACGAATGTGGATTAAAAGTTGTCTGACCTAACCTAACCTACGGTGATTAGTCACCACCACCACCACTCCTTTTAGGCCCTACGCACAGTGGACAATTTGCGGTACTCCTGATGGAAATGGATAGTTGAAATTGTTAAAATAACTAAAATCTATTAAATTAATAAAGATTTCAACGATCTCAGCGATTTATTTCATCCATTAGAAGCATTGCAAAAAGATGGATATTATTATGTAGTTACCATCCACCTCTCTAGAGGGCGGTAATACGCGGCAGCATTTTGCGGTTACAGGTTTTGGGTTGTCAATTTGTCATGTCCTCTCTCAGACTCTCAGGTTTCTCTCTGTTCAGTTCACACCATTGCACACCATTCGTACTTGCGTACTGTTCATACTCACATCTCACGTTACTTGACGCTACTCACAGTGGGTTGTATCGGAAAACCAAACAGCGGATTTATTAAGAAAAAGAAGATTTTATTCGTTACACTAATAAAAGAGTAGCCGTGTTACGTACATTAAAAACTTGATGTTAAAAAATAATAGAAATTGCAGAATTGCTGTTATACTGTTTTAGTGACGATGAGGTGAGGTTAGATTAGTAGTAAAATATTTCCCCACTCGCATGGTATTGCAAAAAGTTTTGATAATTGGCTGCGTTCAGCAGATTCAGCAGTTTTAGCAGTTTTAGCAGTTTTGCAACCGTTTTATGATTCGTCGCGCTGATTGGATTATACTTTTAGATTTAAAGGAATAGTCCTATCTCAACGAAGTATCGGTTGCAAAACTGTTGAGTCTGCTGAACGCAGCCATTGTTCAGATAAACTGCCTCATCTCCGATCTCGATGAAATTAGGCTCGTTCGATTTTGCACAAAATGAAAGAATCTGGCAGAGAAAAAAGTGCGGGATATCTGCGAAGCGAGCTATTTAGCTAAAGCTAAAGTTGACGATTATTCAGGGTAGTAAGTCTGTCATCATAGTCGTGCAACGATGCAACAGTGCAGTGTGAGCATGAAAATTGACGAAAAGTGTGTATATGGCTCACATTGTACTGTTGCATCGTTGTTGCATGACTGACAGATTTTTTAACCTGATTTTTTTAACCTATAGTTGCCCACTTTAATAACAATTAATATCTCGGTTTGCAGGGCAGAACGACACTCTTTGCCAGATTCATTCGTTTGTGCAAAAACGAATGAGCCTAATTTTATCAACATCGAAGTTGAGGAGGCTAAACTCAACAATTACCATTCTCTGCTTTAAAAATTATTTTTTGTATAATTTTTACTTTTACAGTGGAAAATTTGTTTTTAAAGCAAAAATTGGTGTTTTAAAGCAGAGAATTTGTATTTTTAAAGCAGAGAACTTGTGTTTTTAAAACAGAGAACACATACATACAGGATGTTCAGTAAAATTTAAGAAATCATTCTGGATAACAAGATAGAAATCAAGAATATTAATATTGTATATGTGTTTTAACTCTTTAGGCATTATATATTAAAATTAAAAATTGACAAAATTAGAATTTAACATTAGAATGTTATATATTTGCATATTTTTATATTATAAATATATAAAATTTATTTTCAGAGAGATGCTCGATGTAAAAGCTAAAAAGCGTAAAGTCTCTAAGAAGACAAAAAGATCATGGAGGAAATATATTGATATCAAAGATGTAGATACATTTCTTGATAACAATAGATTAGAGGAACGATTGGGTACTTCTTTTTCTGAGTGTATAGATACTCAATTGTTTACCATTGACAAAACTGCTGATGTGACTGAAAATGTAATTTCCAAACGTGCTGCCAGATTAGCATTGAAAAATAAAGAACCAAGATGTTTTGCTTCTTTGAAGTCGCATACATGTGTCCCCGATCCAATTTCGAAAAGAAACCGAGTAAGAACCAAAGAAGAACGTATGAATTCTATATTACGTCAACGTGAAGTAGAAAGGAAAGTGAAGGGTATTCTTAAATTAAAAGCGAAGAAAGCACTGAAAAATAGAATACTGGCAAAGGTTGCTTCAACAAATTGTCCTAAGAGCAAAGAGATTAAAGGGGATATATGGAATAGCACAAATGTCTTAATTCCAGATACAGTCACCGAATGGATGTCTTCAAACAGCGTTAGGCATACGCTGAAACATTTAGGAATAAAAAAAAGAAAATTACCCTTATTGTGCAAAAAGTCATCTGTTTTACCTGCAGTGGAGATTCCACATCCAGGTACATCTTATAATCCATCATATAATGATCACCAGGAATTATTGCACAATATTGTGCAAAAAGAATTGGAGCTTATGAAGCAAGATGAACATTTGAACAGAGTCACAACTCAAATGTTTAAAAAAGTAAATTATATTATCATATTATCATTACTTTTTATATAAATTTTTATTTTATATTTTTATTATAATATTAAATTTATTTCTTCTCTCTTTTTTATATACATTCAATATTGATATGATTTAATGTTTAATCCCATTTTCAATAAATAATATTTTTCCATTATTAATATAAAATTTTAATTGCTTTGCTAATATCTCTAATTTAGATATTCCTTCAATTCATATTTTATATTTTTTAAATGTGAATTTGTAATATATCAAATTACTTGCTTGTTCAGATTTCATTGCAGAATAGAGATGAAAATATGATGAAAGAAATGTTAGAAGGTTTGCCAGAGAATCAAGCCGCATCAAGTTTTAAGTCAATTGAGGAGAATCATGAAGAAGAAAATTCATCTATCATAATTGCAAATAATAAATCTAAAAAAAATATTAAAAAGACACTTGTTCAAAAAAGAAAACAACGAGAACAAAAACAAGCAATTAATGAACGTGCATTGATGAAACTCGAGAAAAAAAAAATTTCTGATATCTATAAATTAAAGACTCTGCAAAAACAGATGGAAGCCAAGGAGAGAAAGCAAGAATCCTTGCGACAAAAGCGAATGAAGAAACGCGAGAGGGAATCTCTTGTGCCAAAAACTCTGAGTAAAACAAAGTTTGAACCTATTGATCCTGATTTCCAGCTTGCAGAAGAATTGACTGGCAATTTGAGAAATTGTAAACCTTCTAATAATTTATTAAAAGAACGGTACAAATCGTTTCAACAGAGAAATATTGTTGCACCAACTGTTATAAAATTGTAAGTATAAAGCCCGATTGACGATTTATTAAAAAGTTTTTCAACAATACTGATTTAAATTTCAAGAGTTTTTTGATCGTTGAATATGAATTCTATGTAAAAATTGGCTTAGTTTTCATTGTGCACTTGATACAGGCACTAACTAATAATTTTCTCTTAAATTATCTTAATTTTCGCGATACATGTAAACATATACATAATATGTGTATTTAAATTAATCATTTTGATGTTCAATACAAGTAACTACATAGTTAGGACATGTATCAAATGATCCATGTAAACTAAGTTATTAACAAATAAAATAGTGAATTCAATATTGACCGATGTCAAGACTTGAAAAATGTTGGATTATTACAAAAATGTCTTTTACGATTTTTAATTTGTCAATTTTGATATTGCGCGCACGGATCAATTTAATTTACAGTTTTTCTGCAATAGACCCCATATTTAACTATGAATGTCAATATGAACATTAACTATAGCCAACACTAAAATATCCTTTTGAGGGCTGAAAATCTTAATAACATAGTTAATTTTGATTGCAATAAAACTTCTCCAATACGTCATACATTGTCGTTATAATACGACAAAATACATAAAAATAACCCTTTTTTGCTAATTGAATTGCAATTTTCTTAAAATTGTGACGTGATGGTGCAATTTGGAAAAACATATTCCGTATTCGTATTCTAAAAAACTATTTAAAAAATTACTAGTCTTGTTCCAGTGTTAGAAAAAAAGTAATTTTTCGTCGAACAACATTATACAGCTAAATGCTTCTGAACGCAACCATTTATTGATTGTTTATAAAAACTACAATATCTCAGAACAATTTGATTGGGATCATTTAAGAAATGTCGTGGTTCTTTTTATTTATATATCATAAACGTTTTTTATTATATTATTTATAATGTTCTTTGATTTTAGGAAACGGGACAAAGCAAAAATGAAAAAATTTGTGAAGCCGGATCATAAACTAAACTTGGGTGACATTATATAGTTTATAAGAGAACTATGTAATTTAAAATAAAGAGAATTTAATACCTGTGTAAATAGGAATAATTACATAGGTCTTATATAATCTCAAAGACAAATTGAAGGTACCAACGAGATCCTATTAAAGACAGCCGGTCTTACGAAAATTTGAATAACTTAAAATTCAAGTGATTAATGGTGAATTCGATCACTCGCACTACATTGGACCAGTGCATATTGAAAGCTGTTTTATTTGAAATATCTCAATGCAGTGATACAATATAATCAACTTTGACAATGAAATGATACATGTATATTTTGTTAAATAACGTGACAAAATCATTAGTAGATCGTTAATTGTTTAAAAAATGTATATATTAAGTTTACATTTAACTTTGCTAATTTCATGCATAGTAGCTTTTAGTATGCACTAACAGCGTAGTTACAAGTGACTGAATTCGTTGATAATGTGTATAAATAATTGGTAATAATTGGTAAATTACTAATTTTATGATTTATTAGTTTCGTAAATATGTATATATGTTTAAAACTCCCCCCCCCCATTTGCTTTCATAATTTTTTTTTATTCGATTTTGGTTTATTTTGTTATTACACTTCATTTTAGAGGTCTTATTTCGGTTTCTTTTAAATCTTATTTTTATTGTTCATGATCATTTATTTTTTATTTTAGAATTTTTTTAACACGTGTTTAACGTCGTATAAAATTTGTAATTGTTCTTGCAATTGGTCAGATATCCATTCTTTCTGATTCTCTGCAATATTGAGTTTTTCTTTTTCGCAGTAAAGTAATAGTTCTATATATTTCATGCGCGTCTCACATTTATGCGCTAGAATTTTAGCATTATCTTTGTTTATTATATATTGCTCTTCAGTGAAATAATTAAATTTGTCTAATTTGGATAAATTAACATTCACCGCTTTGCGAATATCATATAACATTGTGATAATAGATTTTTCTAATTCAGAAATTACTTTAGATCTTATCGTGCGTAAATGTATGTTACAGATTTTTCTTTTGTGTTCTTTTGCTGCATTCCTACGAAATAATAAATGTCACAATGTAATTTATAAAAATACGTTAAATTAAAAATAGACTTTTAAATATATACAGGATGTTCTATTTATAGCTTTTGGAAGCAACTATCTCCCAAATTGTTCGTTGTTCCAAAAAATGTTTCAAGTGGTACTTTTACTTTGTTTCGGGATATCTTTTAATGATCACAGGTTGATCCGTAGATGGACGTACCTCCAAGATTTCAAGATGATTTTTATTTTTTTAAGTTAAATTATATAGTTTTTTTTTACATAATATGAGATTCCTTTTAATTATTCTGCATATAAAAGTATTAAGATAGAGATATCAAAAAATCAATAGTCTATAAGACATGTTAGAGAGAGAGAGATCCGACAGCGTACATAGCTGATTGGTCAATTTAAAGTAAAATATTTTCATTAGTAAAGCAATGTAAAATTACTGAGCACTGGTTGATATGAGTGGATGTATGCTAACGGAACCCTTCCGATATTTTATACTTTATTCTCGCACATATTGATATGAAATATCAAATATTTCGTAAACTATTAAATTTGTTTATAATCGTATCTTAATATTTTTATGAACAGAATAATAAAATGAATCAGTTGGTGTAAAGAAAATTCATAGTTGCTTATTTAAAAAATTACCTACATATCTTTTTTAAAGCAACTATGAATTTTATTTACATCATTGTAATTCATCTCATTATTCTGTTCGTAAAAGCATTAAGGACTATAAAAGAAATCGATATATTATGAAGTATTTAATATTTCGTATCAACATGTGCCAGTAATAAAGTATAACATATCTCGTAAACTATTGATTTTTTGGTGTCGCTAATTTAATATTTTTTTATACACAGAATAATTAGAGGAATTGTTTTATGTAAAAAAACTATATAATTATATTTAAAAAAAAATTACCTTGAAATCTTGGAGTCTACCTAGGGAGGATCTGTGATTATCAAAAGATGTTCCCCTCGAAAGTAAATTTCACTTGAAACATTTTTTGGAATAACGAACAGTTTGGGAGATAATTGTGTCTGAATTAAATTTCAAATGGGATATCCTCCATATATATGTGTATATATATATATATATATATAAACTGATTCTTTACAGCTATATTTTCCAACAATAAATTGGATATGGAACACGGCATATGATTTAATACTTCAACTTGAAATACACTAACTAGATCCAACACACGATTATATAATTCCTTTTTGAATCTATATAGGATACATTAGTCAAATAAGATATTTACATAATTTTCCTATAACTTTGCAATAAGGAAACAAAATTTATTTACCTTTCTTTGTCAATCTTGAATTTACATTCAATTTTACACAAGTTTTTTGCTACCTGTTCTTTTTCATTAATTAAGAATTGATTTCTCATATCTAGTTTTTTTTCCAGAATATGTTGTATGGATTTGTAATCTTCTAAAATATTAATCTTGGCACCTTAACATATAAAAATTAAAATATTCTAAATAAATGACATTAAAAGTTACAAGTGGGTATCTGCACCAACGAGATACTTTAATTAAAGACGGTCGATCCTGGGCAAATTTATCAGTGGAGCCCCAGAGGCCCGGGGATAATTGAAGAACGATGATTATCGACAATGTAATAAAAATTTATGATGATTAACATAAATATTTCGATAATACATTATTAAATTCGTGATTTTTTTTATTATATAAGTGCTGTATAAATAAGTACGTATTCTTTTAATATTATAATATCTTGTATATTGCTGAAAAATTACAATTTTTTTCTCCGAAATTATCATCTCTATTGATAATCGAACTTCTAAATATGATGACATTAAAATCACAGTTTTTAATAAAAATCGAGTATTATTGAGTTTTGAACATACATACATGCATATTTATGAAGCTAATAAATCACGGAATTAGTACCGTGTTATCAGTTTCTCACTCTAAATGACTTAAATTTTAACAGTCACGCGAACTTCCATAAGAATCGATCGTCTTTAATAGTATCTCGTCAGAGTCCAAAAATTGCAGAAAATGAATGTAGTCTCGTTTTAGTGTTTCTTTTTTTTTTGTCGAATCATATAATCATACAAGAGATACTATATAATAAAATATAATTACTCAAAAGTTTAATTTGCGAAATGAGCATAATTCGCGTATTTTTATATTTTTCGTCAATGTTTACAGTTATTGCAATGTGAGTGTATTTATCGTCAATCCTTGCTTTTTCGAGAGTAATCAATTGATGCTTGTATGCTTTTATTCTAGTAATGTAAGAAGCTATTTGTGATTTTAAACTGCTTATTTCTTGTGTTTTTTCTTGTAAAGTTTTAATGAAATAATGCGTATCTTCTAAATTACTCTCCAATTCTCTATTCCGTTCTTCTAAACTATTTAAAAAGTTAAAATTTAATACTAAAATAAATGCATGTATAGTTACTTTACTTATATTTTATATTGTACAATTTTGGATGTAGAATAATACAACAGTTATTAGAATAATTTTTAATTAAATTATCACTTTTTCTTCCGTGCTATTTGCTGTTCACTTTGTTAACTATACATTAGATTATTAGAACTACAATATTACTATACATACACACACAAAATATCAGATAATAAAAATATTTTTTTGTAAATACCTTTGAATTCTTTTATTAATTTCAGCAATTTTCAAGTCGTAAAAACATTTTTGCGTATTTACAATAATAGTTTTCAATTTGGTTTCATCAAAATTGATGGGCTGAAGACGTTGTGGTAAACTGATATTGCCCTTGTCTCTTCCATATAAATCCATTTTTATTTTTGCCAAAAATTTTTGGTTATTAGTTCTCGTGAGGAATAGAAATCGAATTATGCTTTCAGATAATATAATGCGACCAAAATCAGGATTCTGAAATATTGGTATTGGTGGTGCTCGGTAAACGGCGTTCGAATCGCAAAACTTCTCTCATAAGGATGCAGCTATACAATAAGAAGAAGGAATAAAGAATAAAGATTTCAACCTATCAGATATTCCGGATACACCGGAATAAACTGTTTCCGATAGGTTGGAATCGTTATTCCTTATTCCTTCTATCGTGGCTGCACCTTAACTTATTAGGCTGCTTTCCTTTTAGGAGACACAGTCGACACACTTGACACAAATCGACACACTTCGCCTCTGCTCGGGAGCAGAGTCAGAGTGTGTTTCGAGTCTGTTCAAGTTTAATTTTGATGAATTAAGTGATATTAGAACGCACCCGCAAACCAATTTCCATCATTTTGTTGTTTTCAGCATCTGGAGACACGGTAGTGTCTCGGTACTTAGTCGACGAATGCTAAAC